GCGACGTTTTGTCCCACGATTACCGAACTGCACGGTAATTTTTGTCCGTACTGTCAATATAAAATTTCTGGTTTTTTTTCGCTCAGTGTATCCATGCTCGCAGTGATGTCCTTTTTGTTCTTAGGTACACAAAAATATCACGAGAGTATGTCAGTAATACTATTCACTATGTTTTATTCTGAAGCGCATTATTAGAATCCCCAGAGCAAAAATTACTGCCACCCTTCCGTATCTTTTTAAAGTTCAAACGAATGTTACAATTACAAATTCGACTTTGATGTCTTAACTCACTGTATGAGACTTTGCTCTAGTGTATTTGTACAACCAACCAAGGATGTACAGCACTCGTGGTATTTATTTTTGTTTTTTGAATTGGTTTCTAAGTTTTTTTTTTTCATATTCAAACAAACTGCGGCTTTGACAATGACTTTTTTTTGTTGTTTCGCCGTCCACTCTGTCCGTACAATGGAGCAGTGACCGCAGCACAAAAAATCATCACTATTGCTTACCTTTTGTATGTACATGTACATTGTACCGTACCACAAAACTCTCGCTCCCCTGCCAGGTAATTTGCCACGGTATAGGCAACTATATGCTTGCTCATACGTGTGTAGGTACGAAAAAAAAAAAAAAATAATTGTATGTGTGTACTCTCGCCCACGGCAAGTATTCAATTTCTGATTTTTCAATTTTCTGCGAATACATAGCTTGCGGCCTCGTTTCGCGGTGGCTCGTTTACTTTTCCCATTAAACGAAAAAAACTTTCCTCCCTTCCTTCCTTTCTTTTTTCATTTTTGCATTTTTAAAAAACAAATTTTTTTTGTTTGTTTTTTTGTTTTTCATCGGTAAACACGACGCGTAGAATATTCGTTCCCCCGACCGCTTAATGGAACACGTAATGCTTGTTATTTGCACTCGAGATACAGGGCAATTTATTTTTCCCCCAACTTTCAACGCTGCGTCTGCAACTATGTTGTGCGATGGTGTGTATATTTTTTTTCTCGCATCACGTCAAGCATCAATTTGTATGGAATGTGCAGTACGGCGGTATTTGCAACTTGAGACCTTCTTCGTTCCATCCATATGTGTACACGTGAATAAAGGACAGTGGGTACGCTGCACAGGTGATGATTAAAAGGTTATTTACAGAGAGATTTTTGCACCCAAATGGATGATCATGCCAACGGAAATGATAGCGATGTAAGATTTAATTAGTTTTAACGACGCCACTCGAAATTCGACCCTCTAATGACACCTCGTTGAACAGCGTACACTTGTACAGGGGTGCGGTTCATTTTTCTCTGATCAAAAACAAACAAATTCCTCTTTATCCTTCACCATTCAGTAAAGGCACTATATAATCTTATCCGAAGCTCCGATTAAAAGCTACGCCCAATATTAGCATCGAGTTTGTCACTCAGTGAAAAAGGATAAATTGGATAAGCGCTTTACACGCTCGTCTAGTTCGTTAAGCCATATAAGCTCGAGAGGTGCGAGGAAGGTAAACGCGCACCTCGAGCGAAAAAGCCGCAAATACGCAGTGCACTCGCGTCAGGTAGCATCAGTAGCTGCGAGGGGGTCGTCACGAGTTCCAGGGGTAGGTGTAGCTATCGAGTGAGACGTTTCGTACCGTAAATTTGCCACCGGCGTGCGCGCTCGGCGAAATGGGCGAGGGGCTGTGGGAAGATAGTGGCTTTCGATGCTCAGCCCTCTCTCCGTCTTATATGTACACTTTGTATACTTATTACAAGCCGAGAGTGGAAGAGGGAGAGATAGGCAGCCGCGTCCTCCTTTATCGTTTCCATCTGCCGAATGCGCGCCATTACTTTCTCACATCTCGAGCGAGAGAGTCTCTGCTACCATATATACCTACTAGTAGGTGCTGTTTAGCCGAGTACGTATGTATGTATGTATAAACGAGAGAGCAGTATGCATACGCTTTTCACGTGCGGGTATGCGCAGATAGTTGGTTGATTCTGGCTGCTGTGTATTATATACATATATACTCTTCTCCTTTGCAAGCAGCTCAGCGAGAGATCCTGCCTGGATAAGCCGTGCTTATCTCGCACGCGCTCCCAGTCACGAGTGTGTATAACAGTGCGAGTAAAAGGAGAGAGAATACAGGGGGGGGGGGACTCCATTTGCCTTTTCATCGATCTTCTTTTCTTGAGCTTGCGACATGCTTTGATGTTATTGTACGCATACGAGGTGATACGTCGACATTTTCCGGGGCATCAAGAATCAATGGTGATGGCGCATTGCGCGAATGGTTTAACCTTGGTTTGGCCGAGCGGTTGGACCCTTTTTGCTTTGATATTGTGATACATACATATAATATATGTACATCAAAGGAAAATACGTAAGGTAGAAACCGTGGCTCTACTTTTCCATTTACAACTCACTTGAAAAGGTAGTTCGAGTGCCGTATACCTGAAAGCATTTAAAAGTGCCTGAACTTGAGCTCTATTCGCGCCAAAAATATTGATTCGACGTCCATATGTACTAAATGGGCTTCTTAACTGTATTACGTTCACGCGCGAACAACCTGTTCTTATCATCTCCGGCATCCCCATCACGTGTACTTCTCTCGAGTTGTACGAATAACGCGTGAGTGTTTGCTCATTTGTAAGCTTGATGCCTAAGATATACATATATACGATCATACCATCGCACAAGTATCTTGTGAGAAAGACTCACTTGCCGAGCTGTTTTCATTTTTTTTACGGGATGAAGAAAAGCTAGAGTACACGTAACGTGGAAGCTCCGAATGATGGACGCAGGTACTTTGATTTTTCTAATAAGCCGATTTAAGTGTGGATAATGCCGGTTCTCCTAACTTGTTACTGGAATTGAATATCGATGTTTAGTGTGTATATGCAATTGGTTTTTTTTTTTTTTCCTCGCTTGATTACATTGGGAAGCGTTTTGTGCCGTTCGTTAACATCGCACAAATAGGCGATACGCACGAGCAAAGCGTTTGTTGAAGACGCTTTCGTTAATTTGCGTCGATTTCATATCACCAAGATTATGCCGGTTCGGCGATAAAACAATATAAAAGACCGACACCCCTCAGCAGCGTATATTTACGCGTCCCGAGGTATCTCTATCCAACCCGTACTGGACGCGTCTTTTTGCGATGTGATGCCGATACTGCTGTACATCATAAAAACATTTGCACACGCGATGTTGCGGAAACATTAGATGAAAATCTCTCGTGTAAACAAACCGTGGAAAAAAAAAGTGCGGGTCTGCGCTCTCACGCGGCCTAATCTCCGTATACACGTGAGCCGGCAAATCTTTGAAATAAGATTACAAGGGTATATGATACGCGCTCGGCAGCAGACGCGCCATCAAATTTAATGGACAACACGCGCGGACGTTATAATTTATAGATTAAGGCGTCGTTGTCGTTTTGTCGAGAGGCCCCAAGGAGGAGGTCCCCGCTTCCACGCACCGAGCTCCGGATAATTGATTTCATTACACGGAGCCCTGCTCGTTAAACCTCACCAATAAAACGCAAAATCGAGCCTCCGGCATCTCGATCTGCTACTCTCGCGTTCCTTCGTCCGTCAAGTATATCTCGCCGACTCTTCGGGGGTTATGCGTTACGAGCCAGCGCATAAAAGGCTAAGCGCGATCGGCTTGTCTTTTCCCCTCGCATACGCTTATACTTCGTTATACCGTCGGCCGCTGTTGCGTACACACGCGCGCGCGATCGGTTGTGAGCCGTAACTCGCCGATAATCGAACTTCCGCGTGGATAATTCAAGCCCCCGGTCACACCCGTGCCGCTACCCCCGTGTGCCGGAGATATTCCTCCCTCCCCGGAATTTGCACTCGCTCTCTGTTCATGTTCCATCTATCGGTATATATACCTGGTACAGGTATTACCAACCACCGCAGCGACGTAGGCTCTTTTAAAGTATAATCGATCTTTTTGCGTGATCTAAAGTTTTTTTTTTTTTTTTTTTTCCAGCACTTCAAACAAATCTCTTTCTCAGCAGATGTCTTAGGGTTTTCTCTCAGCTAAATTTGTTTTTACTCTCTCATATACCGGTCGCTGGAAATTCAAACTGTTACAAAGTCGTTTTTTGCCCAGGATAACTTTGATCTCGCAACAATGAATCAAATTTTTTTTACCCAAATGTTTTGTTGTGTGAATAATCATGAGTGCTGTACTAGGGTACTGCGATCGTATAAGTGTATATTGTACTTAAGTTGTTGATCTTACAGATTTTTGATTATGTTACTTTGACTTTTTTTTACCCCAAATTTAGAACCGGTACTACTTCTTTATTTCGTTTCAATTAAGGTACTTTGCGGGTCCAAGTTTTCCGTGCACAGTACAGGTACTGTACCCAACACACACCCTTTATTGATTAGGCTGGCACTTACAAGGACTTTTTTGGGATTATTCAGACACACCAAGTCCACTTAACCGTAGAATGTGCCGTATAGAAACCAAAAAAGAAGTTCTGTACTGCATGGGACCTGCTGTTGATGATTATAGATGAGACTGGATCACAATTAGATAAGACAATAGAATTAGGCAAGACCTTCACACGGAGATGGTGAAGGTTCCCCGTTAGTAAGGCCGTTATGATGCGTTCTTGGCAACATATGAAAACAAATTTAAAAAAAATTACTATTATTGAATTTTTAGTGAGTGCTTAATAAATAATCCATCATTATGTCTTAATTAAATGGTGATTAAACTCGAATTTCATTACAATATTTTCCACTTACTTCTTGGATTCCAGCTATCGTTTTTGTCAACAACTTGATATTAATAATAAAAATTGAATCAGCGCAAACAATATTGTGTTTTCTCCACGTCTTTTCATTCGAACGAGACGTTTCATTCATCGTACATTATATTAAAATCAAATTAATCTTGTATTTGCCCTTTACGTATACCAAGCCCAAATTAAACAGTACCTTTAACGCAAGTAAAACCCGATATTTATTAATCATAACTTTTTCCTCTTCCTCTGTTCGCAGGATGGAGACGTTCCAAGAAGCGGCCATTCAGATGCTGCGAGAGTTCCGCACCCTGTTGTACCATTCGCCTCTTCCTCTGCCAGGCTCGCGGCTCCTGCAGCTGTTGGCCCTGAATATGTTCGCGATCGAGTCGACACAGCTGAAAGGTAAGACAAAATTTATCCGTCGAATAAAAATTGGAAGGAAATGAAAGAAAAAAAAAATCAACGGGGGAGTTTCGTCGAGCTTCGATAAATCCCCCGGCAGATAAGAGCCGCGACAGCTCTATCTGTGTGCATATATATATGAATAAAAAAGGGGCAAGAGGAGAGGGTGAAGCCGAGCTCTGCCGTATATACTTCAGATTGGATTGGCTCGCCGCCCCGACTGTTCCTTATTTAATGTTACGGCGCCTCCTCCCCCCCCTCCCTTTTTTTCCTAGACGCGGCGACTTTCGGTACATTGCAGTTCAATCGGCGCGGGAATTCCTTTTTTGTTTTCGGTATCTCCTGCCCTTCCCGGACAAGAGGTGCTCACCGTAAATCAAGCTCCCTCTAACTCCCTCTCTTTCTCTCTCTGGGCAAGTACGGAGCACTTACACGCGGGGAACACACCACATTGCCCGCGATTGCTCCTCGATTCAATTTTGCGGTTCTTCCGGCCTCGAGCCCAACTTTCGTAATTGAATCTTTTCTTCTTCTTTTTTTTTATTTTTTTTTTATTTTGCACTTGGCTTGAATAAATCTCAAACTTCTCGGTTATAAGGTGGGCCTATCTCTCTGCTCTTCCGTTCTTGCGCGCAACAATAGCTCGAGCGAGGTAATGAAAGTTCCTTCCAAGTCCTTTTATAAATTTATTGACGTCCGCGCGTTTGTTCATATTCATGTAAGGAGTGAGTGGATGCAAGTCCCGCGAAGTCGTTCAAATTAACGCAGAACCTCGAGATAAATTCAAACAATTTCATCCCAATGGAATACTATTTATATTACGTGTATTTATACGCTGTTTGCACGTAAAAACATTTCCAATACTTGCAGAAAAGACTCTGGGTAAAAAGTATCTGGGTATACTGCGTGGGTGTAATGTGTATATTGTGCATCGTTGCAATATATTTCCTCAAGACAGTTGTTTGAATGGAATTAAAATGTGTATTTCATAGGGTTACCGTGGTGGAATATATATCCCTCTGACTTGACTTTTGTTGTAAAAATCGAATGATTAAGGGAGTTCAATCGGTTACAGAATTAACAACGAGAATTTGATGAAAATTCTTGACAAATTAATAAAGTCATGAATATTAGTCTGGCACGAGGGTTCCTAGGAGCCGAGTAATTAATATTAATATTCATCCAATTTTTACATGTAAGTTTATATAATATGCTGTTGTTCTTTTGAGCACTTGTGCTGTATTTACCTCGCTTGTTAGCAATGAACTTTCAATAAAAATTTTACCAAAAACAAAAAAATTTAATATTTTTTTGTTGGTTATTTTTTATCGTGGTATTCAATTATAGTACCAGAAAAACGAACTGATAGTGAATGCTCATCGTGAAGTTCTTGGGTGTTCTAAACCAAGACTAGCGAAAGAAGGAGATAAAATAAATAAGTAAATCAAGGGCTATACTGTTCATATTATTTATTGATATATATTCACCTACATATAAATAAATATATGAACAGCATAGCCCTTGATTTACTTTTTTTTCTTCTTCGGTGTTGTTACCACAAACATTTTTTTTTTCTCAACAGATTTTTTAAACAACAGAAACCTTTCACGCGCACCTGTCCATTTGATGTTGTAATGGTTAGTTATGAAATGATAACACAAACATATCGATCCAACGCGGACGTGTAGAAACGAATTTTCGAGATCATTAAAGGTGCCACAGTGAAGCAGTACGCGAGCGTATATGCCATTGCACTATTTCTCCCTGTTTGCATTTTTGCTCCATCCTTGGGGTATGTTACATACAGTTACAATTGTATCAAAGTACATTGAACGGTCGAGTGTAGCAGCTTCGATAAAACTACACACTCAAAAACACGGGAGGGAAAAAAAAAAAAAAAAAAAAGAAGGGAGAGAGAAAGAGTCGTGCTGTGATGTCCCGTTACATTCCACGCAGCAATGCAAGTTAAACCACATAGCTCTCGTGCAATTGCCAGTGCTGTATACACACACTCGTGCTCGCGTACTCGCCGCTGCTTCTTATGGTACATACAGTCTTTGTCCGCAACGCGTTTTGAATAGCTCAATTGCTACATGGATATACGTACCATCCTCAGCGTCAGAAATGACGAGAGCTTGCGGTTAAATGAACATTTCACCCTCACTACCAAGTTACGCGCAGCGTCTATCTCCAACATAATATATACGCGTGCTTACATCACACGACGTATCGAATTTCGCAGAAGCTATAAATATACACTCGATTCACGATGCTTTTTTACCTTTCCTTTTTTTTTTTTTTTGTCGAGCTTTCGTTATTAATACTCGAAAATATCACAATCCGTGCGAGTAGAGCCGTGCACTTGCAGTCAACGCGCTGTAAGCGATACGCCAGTATATTATACGCGAAACGCACGCACGTACATGTACCCTATAGCTTGCGGTGGAAAACTGGTCTTGTTCGGACATCAGGCGGAATAAGAGGTTGCCTGGAAATTTTATCGCTCGCTCGAGCGAGCGCAATTAGCCGTTGTTGCTGTTGGGCATATATACACCTCGACACGGCGTGTATGGGGGGTGGGGGGGCATACCTTATACACACTCGACACGGGTGTAATCAAGGGGTATAGGGTGTCGCCACCTTGACGCGTCAGCCCGGTGCCGTAGCTGCGGCCCAAGGGGAGGGATGTGGAGGCGCCTCCTTATTGATTTACACTCGAGGGAGACCGGGGAGATGATGGTCGTGTCGATGTACATCGGAATTGGCCCTCTGGCTATCATCCAATATCTCCGCGTACGACAACTACCGAGTTGTCGTTGGCGTCTGTGTCGCGTGGCCGCGAGCAACATATATGCCGTTGCTACTTACTCCTCTCCCGGCCCTTTTATTGACTCTTTTGTTTCGTTTCTTCTTTTTTTCGCTCCATGAAAATGCTGATCGGTTTTATGACGTGTTCTCGAGTTCTTACGCGACATCTATTATTCATTCAATCTTGCCTCAAGTGCTCCGTATGCGTAATTCATAGCGTGTGCTGTTGTGCGCTTCTTTTCCGTATACTGGTACCGCAGTTTTTGAGATTGAAGTTTTTTTTTTCGGGTATATAATTTTTGTACAACGTCAGTAAAGTTTTTAAAAGGTTTCAATACAACATTGATTACCAAAATTTGTCCTTTGAATGTATATGTACAGCATGACACGACAATCAATCGCTTATTTGAATGAGGATTCATTTTTTCGCAGTGATGTAGCACAGTAGTATAACAATGGGTTTCAACGCAATAAATCACGGATCAGTGTTTATAGCGATGCAATATATTTGTACACTTACAATCATCGTGACATAATATTCTTGGATAAAACCTTCCATTGGATGTACCATGAGTATTTTATGAGTGTTGCCATGCATTTAAGTACAATAACAATTACATCAATTATCATCTGTTTAGTAAAAATTTGTTCTTAACCTATCATAACATCGTTACATAAGATGTACATTGCCGAAATTAAGACTAAAGTACAAAAACTGTGTGCACATAATTATTACCTACTAGATATAATTTAAATTATACCCGAGATTATACCTGACTTTAACGTCTGCAAGATGTATATATTTATTTGCAATGAGAATTTTCAAACAAATTACGCTTGTTATTGTTGTTGTCCACTACTTTTTGCACATATAGTTTCAAACCTATTTTTTTATACGTTGCTCTATCCCACCATTCTTATCTTCCTTATCTTTAATCTCTTTTTTTCCCTATTTTTTACGCCCTACTTTATTTTCCATATTTTTTACCTGCGTTACCTACTTCCATGGACCCTATCAGTATTTTTCACTATCTTTGTTCGAAAGAAGTGTCGTAATCGTAGTTTTTATTCAGTCTAAGGGGTTAGAAAAACGTGGTGGCTATTCGCTTATTGTTTTCTCGCTATTTGACATATTACTTCGATCACCCTACTATTTTTATCACTAGGTATCCAACCTCTTTTTTTTATATCACCCACAATCTCCCTACTTTTATTACCCACTTGTAACCACTACTCCATTACTTTCTTGGCATTTACTTAAGTATTATATCGTTTGGATGGGAAAACTCAAAAAAAAATCTGCAAGGTAGTTATGAAAGGATTTAATCTCACGAGTCTTTGATCAAGTCTGATCAACCGAGAGGTTCGCATATTAACTGCTGGGTGACCAAACTCAAAACGTTGGGAAAATCCATTAAAAAATCATAAAATTTTTTAACAAGCAATAAAACAGATGGAATCATACAATTTTTTGTATTTCTTTACAAATTTTTATAACCTCTACTTGATAGTTTTCCATACGTTTTTCTCTCCAGTCGAAGTATCATAGAGCCGATGGAATATTCAAAGTCACTTGACTCGACGTCGTTCATTTTATGTTTGTATCCACCTGCAGTACACCTGTAGAGTCAGTCGCTTTGGTTACTTCGCACTCGCTCGAAGCAAGGGAGTGCGAACTACAGACCAGGGTCGGTAATTGAATTCGTACGGAGGCCCGCTGGCGATTGGCTGGCTTAATGAGCCGCCTGCCACTGCTGTCTGTGGTAACGGAGTCGATGTGTATGCGCGTGCACGACGATGTCGTATATAGCCTCTTCTTCGGCGAGCCTTCATCAAGTTTAACACCCCTGCGGTTAACCGCGCTGGAGGCTGAGTGACTGGTTAACTAGCTCCTTTGAGAAAATCCTCGTTTAAGGGCTGGCTCGCTCGTTTGCTCTCCGTCTTTATTGGGCTGGCTTCACTTGGCGTTTATATCCTAGTATGAAATTTGTTAGAAATGATAAATTTTGCCTCACTTTGACTCCTCCTTCTCATCCTGGGATTGAAAATACAGATTTGTAAACACCACTTTCTGTTTACAGATGTACTTTTACGTGTACGTTTGTTTACTTTTTTCCCTTCGATGACAAAATTTCTATCATTCATGGGGTGTTTGTTTTGTTTTGTTTACAGCATTTTGGAAATTTTTTTTT